GGTAAGTATTCAGGGCATTGAGCTACATAGTTCAGCTTAGTGCCTTTATGTGAAGTATGTGAATATCTCAATAAAAATGCAAAGAAGCATGTGAACTTTAAAACACATATTCAAGAGCTCTTTATTATCAGCTAAGTACCTATCTCTGGGAATGCAAGGGAATGAGAGTTAGAAATACAACAGATGAGTTATTTTGATGTAGTTTGTAAAACTGTGCTCCCAAGGGAACCTATACTCACGGTATCAAAAACAATAATGAAATCATCCAACAGCATTACTACTTCTTGCCAATCCCATTAAACTGCTCTATTGGCCATCCTTTCCCATCCTGTTGGTCTGGGCAGGTATGTTAAAGTCTTCCAGGCCCTTTCAGTTATAAGATTGGTCTTATTTCAACAAAACATGTGGTCTGGTACGTTAATCAAAACTTCAATTCATTTCAAACAAGATGAGCGCTTCTGCCCTCGCCTGGCCTATTTCAAGCCCAGAAGCTGCATGGGAAGCCCCTTCTGCTCTCTCCACCACCTTTTCCACTTGCTGGCCATGGCTTTGGACCCTTCGGTTGAGACCCAGAGGAAAGAGCCAAGTCTTCCAAAATGATGCAGGTGGAACCTGACCTGAGCTCCTTCTGGATGTGACAGCAGGACAATGGTTGGCCTGCCTCTTGTGGGGCACTTGGGTGGGATTTCTGAAGACCTCTCTGCAGGGCACTTAGGCCACCTCCCCTGACCCAGGCAATGTCTATCCTCCTATGAGTCACTGTAACTCCACCAAGCCCCACGCTGTCAGGGGCCCATTTCACCCAGACCTTCTTGATGAGGTTGTCCTCTTGGCAAGAAACAGGACCCCTCACTCCCAATTCCCACAGGTCCACCTGGATCACAGTGTTCCGCAGTGGTCCCTGGGCATCCACCTCTCTTCCCTTTGCCTCCAAACCCTTTTCACATTTACACAGGTCAGGCTGGCTGGGTGGTTTCCTTGAAACATCTCTCCTGTAGCTTGATGTAAGAGGGAATTATCTCTTTCCCCTCCCCATAGTGGGAGGGAAATGACACAGACAACTCTTTCTGACTGCTCCTGCTTCAGTGTCCTACAGGTGGGTGATCACAGCTGCTGGCAGAATTCAAGAGTTCATCACTAGTTCTGCTAAGGTGGCTCAGACACCCTTAAGAACCATACAGGTTTTTGCCACTTATTGCACCTCCTACTGAACCTCTGGCTCCTGCCTACAAGTCTGAGGCAATAAGAAGAATTAGATTGAACAACCTGTCACACAAGTAATGACAGTAAGTGTAATGGCAAAAGCAGCCATCTTTGTCATAACAGGAAGCTTGCTGAGTTCAGACTCCACATGGACCTTGCTCACTCACACCCTTCCCAGCGCTCAGTGTTTATTAGAGGTGTTTAGTTCTTATTAGTGGATGAGGGAAGTGAGAATACAGAAAAGGGAATAGCAAGTTTCTCCTCCATAAATTCCTTTGGAAAAGGGATTTTTATGTAAGTGGGTCATTCTTGTCTGATGTCATGCTTTACAAGCATTCTCCCAAGCCCATGATGAACAAAATGTATGACAGCTTTCTTCTTGGCCACTTGTCATTCAGACAGTGCCCAGAGCCAGAGGAAGCCAATTGCAACCTGCAGAAAAAGCCACAAGCTCCTTCAGAGTCACTCCCTGGCCTACAAAACCCCTCAAGTAGGTGGTCAGAGCATCTCTTCAGAATGGGAGACCAAAGAGGCAACTCAAGAATGTAAAAATTGCTACAGACTGTACATACAAGACCTGTGCCAAACAACCATGGGTCTGAGCAACTGTAGCCTGCCTGGAGGCCCCTCACCCATCTGTCCAGAAAAGACAAAAGCAACCACAGGAACATCTGATTAAAAGCTCTGTGGGCTCTAACACCTGCAGAGAGCTGGAAATTGTGCAATTGCCACACGAGGCATCCCAGCAGAAAGAGCTGGAGAAGTGTGTGTGAGCCTCATGAAAACATTTATTCTATTATGGATGTCTCTGCTTGGCCTGGCTTCCAGGTCCATTTGTGGTTACAGTCTGTTGTGGCTGACTTTGGAAACTTTATAAAGGCCAAAGAATGATCTCCTGGAGAGAATGAACAAGAGCAGTGTTGAAATGTAAACTCCATTTGACAACTATTTACCAGGCATCTGCCACATGCCCAGCATGCAGAACTAGGAGGAAGGATATATGATGATGAATGAGTGAGAGAAGAATGTCTGCGAGGCATGCTCATGGGCTAGTAGCAGGGAGATGAAAAGTGCTTCTCTCCTGTCCTTAAATGGAAGACATATCTACACTGCACTTTATGCTTAATTCAACACTGTCTTTAATTTTCATCACATCCCTGGGGGAGGTGAAGCAGGGATGGATGTTCTCATTTTCAAAAGAGAAAACTCACATCCAGAGAGGCCAGGAGACCAGCTCAGGGTCCGTAATGGAGAGGGAGGCAGAGCTGCAGTAAGAACATGGGGACCCCTGACTCTGGGATGCTCTTCTGTGGATCCAGACAAGGCATGTGGGACCATAATGGTGAGCTTGCTTGAGGTCTGCGAGGTCAGAACCCACACTTATATCTCCCCCTGAACAGAAATGGCTCGCGTGTTGTCCGCAGTCAGTCAGAGGAGGAGGTAGGCACACCATGGAGCCTCCAGCAGCAGGAGCCAAGATATTCACCAAGCTAGTACCAACAGCCTGCCTTGGTTTGCTCAAACTGCCCACTTTGGAGGCCCAGAAACTACCAGGCAGACAGAAGTGACCCCATAAAGGGAAGAAAGGAAACCTGGCCTCTCAAGTCAGTGGAAAATGGAGTTGTCAATAAGCTGAATCGCAACAGAAATCTCCTGCATGTTGTCATGTACTTGGACAGGAAGGATGACTGAGAATTCATGGGAAAGGAAGGTGACAGGATATGTACGTGCTGAGTTCAGACTAGGACATGGGAACCAACCACAGATAAAGTCCCTCATCTGCAAGAGGGAAGGTGCCAAGACAAATGAGCTCATGGTGAGGATGCTCCCAGGCACCTCAGTCAACTGGAGAGCCAGGGTCTGTGTTTTATTCAGTGGTCATGTCAGAAGAAAAGACTGAAAACGATTGAGCTATCTCTACCTCTGACATGATACCATTCACATATGCCCATGACGTGAGAGTTGGAGGAGCTGGCATCCCAGTGTGGCCCCTGGGATCCGAGGCAGAAGAGCTTGTCCATGCACTAGCACAGCTGATGTCATTTTGGCCACAAACATTCCAGAACTTCTCTCCCCATCTGTGAACTCTCTGTACCAGAAATAAAATAATCCCAGCATAGTGTCATTTGCTCTGTGGTTCTTTTGTAGCCAGTATAAAAGTTACATGTGAAATGTGAGGGATTCCTGCTTGAAGTAATTAGATAAAGAGGACACTGGGGACTGAGAAAAGGACAGCAAGTCTAGGGAGTTCTTAAGGAAAGATCTGAAGAGAGGAGGGCAACTAAGGCTAGGTGCATCCAGACTCTGACCTCTACTGGTGACCAGGTGAGTCTTGGCATGAATTTGCCATGGGCCAAACTAAGGCCCAGGAAGAGAACCTGTTCAGCCTTGTATATTGAAGCCACTTGGCATCCCAGAAGTCACCATGGGTCCCAGCGATTAGATGCCAAGACCCTGAGTTAAAAAGCCACCAAGGAATGGATGACAATCAGACAGGGCAGGACCCTCAGTATCATGATTTACTGCAACAAGGCAACACAGATTTACAAATGGCTCCCTGAAATTACGGAGAAGAGAAGTTACGTATTTTTAATGAGCCTAAGGATGAGAGTTGAACCCAGGGACAATTAACCACTGAACCACATTCCCAGCTCTTTTTAGTATTTTATTTAGAGACAGGGTCTCACTGAGTTGCTTAGTGCCTTGCTTTTGCTGCGGCTGGCTTTGAACTCTCAATCCTCCTGCCTCAGCCTCCCAAGCTGCAGGGATTACTGGCATACGCCACTGGGCCTGGCTCTATTTTAAAGATTTTTAATCAACTTATTGTTGCTGAGGCCCAAATTCCACTTTTCTCAGTAAATTCTGTTACCACAGGCATTTCAGGAGCTTGTGTCCCAGAATGAGCTTCCTGAGTGGACTGTCATTACCCACTGGGGCCTCTGAGAGTACAGACCCAGGTACTGCTTCCCTCTTTCCCTCTTGGGTGTGATTCTCATTAGCTGACTCAGCTCATACATTCCACGGGTCCTGGTCTGAGTCATGTGGGGCCCCATCCTCTCTTTCCCACTATGTCGTTGCAGATTGTCAGCCAGCCCCATGTCCAGGAGGACCTGCCCAGTATTGGCAGTGAGTAAGAAAAGCACTACGTGTGCCTCAAGCCAATGAGGGAGGGTGGGGCCTGGCTTTATTTTACGAAAGGGGTATAAATTCTACAAACCTGCATTGAAAACATAGACAAGTAAGTGGGTGTCCTATCAGTGTGGCAATTTAAAAAGAGAGTACTAAGAACCAAAAGATCAAGGGACATGAGGCAAAAATCTCTTGAATCAGGCTGATAAAACTCTCTGACCCGATGCCAGAGCCTCTCAGGCACCTAAGTGTCATCTACCTTAAGGGGTACCTGCAGTTTACCTCCAGGTACCAGATGTTCCCCTCTGGCGGTGAGGGGCAGCGCTGTGGCTTGACTCCACTTATAGAGGAGACTCTGGGAAGGGTGTTCCCAGGTGGCCCAATGCAGTGGCCCTTCCATAGATGGGGCACGGTACGTGCTGTTGCCTGGGAGATGAGGGAAGAGGGGAGCCCTGTTTCACCTTGATTTGTAGAGATGGAACAGTAGATGTTGGCAAAAGATATGTCTGCTCCCTTCCACACATCTACCTATTTCTTCCTTTCCTAGTTTCCAATTTCGAGGTTTCAAACTCTAACTGCAAAGAATCAAGAGATGCTTTACATGTGAAAGGACTTAAAAAATGTAAGCATAAAGTTCTTGAGTGTCATCACCCATACTCCCGAATTACCTGTGCATGCTTTGAGACCCAGTGACGGAGGACATTCAGGACTCTGTTGGTGGCTGTTCTCCGTATGATAAACTCTTTGTCACATGTTCTCTCGGTGTTGTTAAACCCTGAGGAGGAAAAGAAGCACATGCTGTCATTAGAGCCAAGCCCCAGGGACTTGGAAAAGGTCACTTATTTTAGGACATTGGTTAATAAAACTACAAAGCGGTTCATCTTGGCAGAGAGGTGCAAGAGGCTCCAGACTCGTGAATTCTGCTCACCTATTATACTCTGAGTAGCACGTCCACCGCTGCGGAGTCACAGGCGCAATTATGTGAATAATGTGCACCTATTTATTAAAGGCCACTGATGAAAGCTAATGCTGCTCTAATGACATTTCCATTTATGCCTGTCTTGTTCTATACTACAAAGCCAAGAAGGAATATTAACAAAAGACTTTGAGCCAGCATTAATTTGTACTTTTGCCCTAAAGCAATTACATAACCAATAACATTTTGCATATTTGTAGATGAAGAAATCCATATCTTGGCTTGTAGATGATGCAAATACTTTGTTGTGCAACCATATATTGATGGACAAGCAGTAGGGGAGAGGGTTTAAGAACATGTATTTCCAAATGACTAAACATGCAGATTTCAAAAATCTGTGAGAGGTGATGAATCTATTACTTTTCATTTAATCATTCCACAATATAAACATATTCCAAAGCATCACATCATACCCCATAGATGTATAATATATACAACTATTATTTGTCAATTAATAATAATGTAATTTCTTTTAAAAAACCCAGACTGTCTGGGTTCAAATCACTGTTCTCCTACCCTAGCAAATTACATCATTTCTCTAGAGACCAGTTTTTCAAGACTCTCATGAGATTATAAGTACCCATTTCATTAATTGTTGTAGGATTATGTTTGGTAACACCTATTAAACATTTAGAATGGCAGTGGCAAGACTTAAATAAATGCTAACTATTATTACAGTTCGATATTTGGTCCAGTGTCTTTTATTATTATTTTTTGGTGTCACTGTGGATTAAACCCAGTGCCTCACATATGTTAGGCAAGTGCTCTACCACTCAGCTACCTCCCCAGACCTGGTCCAGGGTCTGAGTCTTCTCTGTGCCAGCTTATGTCTCTATCTTGGCCACCTTTTCATTATCAGGAAACCATTTTAATACTTACCCACTGACTCCAATTTTAAAAGATTCTGACATCCAGACATAATTATGTCATACATTTCCTTTAAAAATTAACATTTCTGCTGGGCACCATGGTGCAGAGCTGTAACCTAGCAGCTCAGAAGGCTGAGACTGGAGGATCGTGAATTTCAGGTCAGTCTCTGCAACTTAGTGAGACCCTGTCTCAAAGTAAAAAATTTTTAAAAAGGCTGGGGATGTGGCTCAGTGATGAAGTACCCCTAGGGTCAATCCCCAACACTGCAAATAATAATAATAAAGAGTTGTCTATACTCAGTGATAGTCATCAGGATTCTCCCTCTACAACTTACTCCAAGCATCTAACCCCATCTCACACCAAGACAGCTCCCATTAAAGACATCAATAGACCTCCATGTCCCCATATCCAAGGGGTCATCTTTAATTTCTCCCTAGTCTCATCCAGCTCCACTACTTATACAGTCACCTTTAAGCAAGTTGCTCACATATTTGTATCCCCAGGTCTCTTCTCTGAGTTCCAGACCCTATATCCAATTCGTCTTAATACTTTCCCTCTTGGATGTTTCAAACACACCTCAAACTCCATGTGTTCAAAAGGCAAATCCATGGCCTTTCCACCAACTTTAAGCTCTTTATCTGGGTAAGGAAGCATCACCATTCTTCCAGTTAGGTGAGCCTGAATTTTGTAATTTTTCTCCTCTCATCTCTCCATTGCTTCCTAATAATTTTACCTGTTCAGTACGTCTCAGATCTGCCCATTTTTTCCTATTTACACAGTCAAAATCGGGGTTGTGCTACCAGCAGCTCTCATTTGTTCCACTGTAATAGCACCCCAGCTGGTCTCCAATCTCACTCTTGCCTCCTCAAATCTGTTTTCCTCACTGGAGTCAGAAAGACCTTTTCAAAGGGCAAAGGCAATTATATAACCAATGGCATTTTGAATATTTGTAGATGGATGAGCCCATATCTTGGCTTGCAGAGGATACAAATACATGATTATGCATCCATATATCGACTAGCTGTATACGATAGTATTTAAGAATGTGTACTTCAAAATTACTAGAAGTATATATTTCAAAGGATTCCAATCTTTAAGGCCTTTGGGTGTTTCTTATGACAAATACAAAACTCCTTAACACAGAAGGTTTTTCATGATCTGGTCCTATCTCTTCTCAGCTTTTCTGGAACAATATTCTTCTATTTCCACATCCATCTCCCCACCCATATTTTAATTCAACATGACGAGAGGGCCTTTGTACATATTGTCCTGTACCTGGAACAATTATTGAGTCCATTTTTACTCAGTGAAAGCCACTCAGTCTTGCTCCTTTTTACTTCCCCAGATAAGCCCTCCTGGGCCATTACATATCTCATAATGTGATATACATTTGATTTTGGGCATGTATTACATTAGTAGTTTTATACTTAGATATGTGATTATCTGATCACTATTTGTGTCCTCCATGAAGAAAGAGATCTGGTTTGATTTTGCTGAGCCTCTGAGCACCTGCCTGGCACGTAGCAAATGCTGCACACAATATATATTTGCTAAAGGAACGAATAAAAGCCTGGATGGTAAGAACTTAATTTTATTCAATGAGACATGAATGTGAGGATGATTGAGTGAATGACTGAAAGAACAGTCCTCAGAGCTTATGAGTGAGACAGAAAAAAAAGTCTATAAGCTACTAAAGGGCAGAGGACCTTCTCTCCAGTGTTCTTTGAATGTAGACAGGCATCTTCTGCCCGCCCACCAGCAAACTTTTAAATTCTAGCAGAGAATGGTGATGATGTGCTCTTGGCAGGATAGATAGCTCTAAATAAAAAAATCTTTCTTTATTGAAAACTTAGAAATTCTAATAAAATATAAGAAATATTCTAAATGGAAAGCTGAGTTCTCAAGAAAGTAAGGGATTCTTCAGGGTCAAACACACAGTGTGATCTGGAAACCACGATGGCTGTTTGTCAGTTATGGTGAGTTGGGATGGGAATTAAAACATCCATGTGGTCAGGGGAAGAAACCCCAGGATCTGCATGAGGAATAAGTAGCAGGATAAGAACTAAGACAGCCACATAAAGACGGACTCTCGAAGAACTACCCTTGTGTGAAAGAGTGAACCAGGAAAAATTATTTTATTTACAAATGGGACAATTAAGAAACTTGTCTGGGGCTGGTCCCCACACCATCACTCCCCAAAAAGAAAGCAACATGTGAGCCTTGCCTGGATTTCAGCAGGGGTGGGGAAATGCCTCCCTGAGAACTCATAACGGCAGGCACGCCACAGACAGGAGCGATGCTCATACTGAGCCACCACTGTGCAACCTGCCCTCCTGGATGAGAAGTTAACATGAAGGACCCAGCCCAGCGATTATCCTGGTGACTCCTACAATAGTCCTCACAACAACTCTCTGGAAAAACACATGCTCCATCTCAGCCTGTACTGAATGGCCACCAGCCAAGAAGAAAAACTCGCAATCCAAAATTCCAAAACACAAAAACTATCTATCATGAGCAAAGATCAGTAGACACAGGGATCAGGAGCCCATCATTCCCCACCTGACTACCACCAAGAATTTCAAATATTGGAACTATTAGATCTCTCTAGTTTAAACATCCCAAAGTTGGGATGTTTACAAAGACCAAAGAAACAAAAGTGGGAGTTGAAAATATGACAAAAGGATAAAAAAAAATTAAATGTTTTATAAGAATAACATAAGCCAGGCATGGTAGTGCACACCTGTAATCCCAGAAGCTCAGAAGGCTGAGACAGAAGGATTGCAGGTTCAAAGCCAGTCTCAGCAACAGTGAGGTACTAAGCAACTCAGTGAGACCCTGTCTCTAAGTAAAAATACAAAATAGGGCTGGGGATGTGGCTCAGTGGTTGAGTGCCCCCAAGTTCAATCCCCAGTACCCCCCGCCAAAAAAGATATGAAAGAAATAATTAAAATTTTCAACTTATGTCTAGTAAGGTTGTCAGAAGGAGAGAAAAAATAAACATAAACAGTATAGAAAAAGGTTTTTCAAGACTTGGTGAAAGACATGGGTCTTCAGGTGCAGGAATCACAATGAATCACAAGCAGGAAAACAAAATGAAAACCACACCTAGACAACCTGAAATGTCAGCAACCCATAAAAAAGGTAGCTTTGAAACAACCATTGAGAATGTACAGGTTATCCCGAATGCAAAATCAGGGGATGGGGTTGGGAAATGGTGTCGTACATGAAAGAAGCATATTGCAAAGTGGGTTCGTTGAAGTAGAGCAGAGGCCTCAAGTGAAGAGAGCTGGTGACCGATAAGAAGCCCTTATTTTGTTAAAGGAGGAAAGTAGAATGTTCTTGAAACACTGAAAAGGTAGGTGAGACAGAGGCCCCTTCCCCCACATAAATAAGTATGAAGATAGCTTCTCAGTGAGAAGAGAACAGAATGGGGGAGACGGGAGTGAGGAAGGAACAGAAAGATGGAAATCAGTCATCATGACATGTTAAGCAGGAAAATCATCTCAAGAGAGCTGTTACTTATTCAAATGTATTTTAGAAAAAGCAACTACCTCCTTTGGTCCTTCTGCATATGTGTCATGGGTGGGTAGAGAAAGGGGTTTACTTTGAACTTTCTACTGCTCTCCAAATGATTTAATATCACAGGCTTAAAGACCGTGTAAAGGGTTTTCCTAATCAAATTTCCAATATTTTCATAGATTTAAATCTTGACCTCTATTACCATTTAGGTTGGGATTTGATTATACTGCTTGGATGTTCCTCATCACTGCCTCTAATAAATGTGCTGTTTGTGTTTTTTGTTGTTATGGTTTAGATGATGGCTTCGCACATTCACAGACTTCTCTTTGCTACTTAGAGCTCATGACTGCCACTTGCAGGGTTCAAAAATTCTCTTGGAAAACAAACAAGCATTAAAATGGTCTTCAACA